GAAAGGAGCAGAGTAAGAGAGCACAGGATCAGACATTGGGTCTGTGAGTGTTTTTCCTGTTGGATACTGTGTGCAGCTCTTGCCCTGGCCTCTCCAGAAGAGTAAGAGCTAGAGTTACATAAGAGCAGCAGGAGCAATTAGAGRCATGAAATGGCTTCTTTTGAATGCAATGTGCTAGATGAGTTGGGCTGTTTTCCAATGAAGATACTATTGGTCAGCAGTTAAGCTAACAGGAGATAATTTTGAAATGATAAAGTCCTCCTTTTTACAATGTATGGAGGGATTCCTTGCTACAGAGACTTCTGTGGATGCTGTTTTTGTGATGGTAAGAAGAATGTGCGTGGAGGAGAAATTAGTCAAATGCTGTTAAAGTGAACAAATACCACTGTCTTAAATGCTTGCAAGGTAGATCTTTGGTGACTGTGGAGGTGTTTAGAGAAACACTGCTTTGTTCATGTATGTGCTCCTTTAGATGTGTGTTTCTGGCCACTGTTGAAGGCATGAACTTTGATGTGACCCATGTGGCAGTTCTTGCTGCATGATAGGTTTTGAAATAGGACTGGTTTTTTCCAGGGAACTAGGCCCTTCTGTGCACTTGCTGAGCTGCTTGAAATTGTGGTGTGTGCAGCATGATTCCTGTTAGTACTTTATGCAGCTTGATACCTGTTGGTAATACAGSACTTGAGGTGGTTGATATTAAAATCCTGGGACTGCTGTGGGATCGTTGTATTCCAGCCTGTACAGCTTGCCCCAGTTCTGCTACCTATGCATCTGTCTTCCTCCAAAAGCAAAGGGAAGCTTCCACACAGAACATCTTGTGCCACCTTTCTGCAGGGCAAAGAGAAGAACTGGAATTGACTAGCAGTGCTTTTCTTTTTTTTGTCCTCTCGGAAGAGTRCAGCAGCAGTGTACCCAGGATGCTGAGATGTTATGGCTCCAGAATCTGATAGAACATGAAGGCTTATATTGCATTAGGTAGAAAAGCAGAAGGGGACTTCAGTGCCATGTAGAACTGCAGTCTCCATCGCAGTATAAATTTAAAAAAAAAATGGATTCAGACTCTGGGACTATGGGGTTGATTAAAAAATAAGGTATTAAGGTGCCAAAGCATCTTAATTGCTGGCCTAGAATTTGCTGTTAAGGTCTTTTTACTTTTTCGTTTGTATCAGTGTCTTGAAATATTCAAGTGTGGGAAGATGTTTAGTGACAAACAGAAATGTAAAGTGTCTTTCTTGTACAGCTTTGTAGTTAAGGTATTGTAAGTGACTATGTTATAGAACTGTTATAGACCTCTTGTCATGCCCGAGTYGGGTGTTGTTGAACAGACACTTAACTTGTGCTTCTTTATTCTTTATTTTCTGGCTGTTGAACCATGACAGTTGTGCCCAAGGTTGCAGCAATGCTCTAATGCTCAGTGTTGCAAATGAAGTGAATCAGCACTGTTCACTGAATATATAAAGTGACTTAGAAATACACAATCCTGGGAGACATTTGCTGTGATGATGGCTTTCATCTCTGTGCCTTTTCCACACTAAAATAAAAATACTATGCAGTAGTGTGGTGAAATGAGATTACATATTCCAATAAACACCTCTGAAGAAGAAATACCCTTGAACCCGTTACAGAGTCAGGTAGCATATGGCAAACAAAAAACCCGTTGAATAACTGAAGTAAAAGGAGACGGTGTATAACTACCTGTATTGATCATTAAATGGCTGGAGGTCATGTAGTATATTATGATGAAATTAGGCTGTCATATRTATAATCCAAACTAAATTAAGGTTACTAATGAAGTGAATTAAGGAGGCCTGCAAGAAACCTGAAGAGGGAATTTTAACAAGGGCGAGAAGTGGGAGAACCATGGGGAATGGCTTTAAACTGGTAGAGGATAGGTTTAGATTAGATATTAGGAAGAAATTATTTTTTATGAGGGTGGTGAGGCACTGGAATAGGTTGTCCAGAGAGGTTGTGRATGCCCCATCCCTGGAAGTGTTCAAGGTCAGGTTGGATGGAACTTAAAGCAACCTGCTATGGTGGATGGTGTCCATGCCCATGACAGGGGSTTTAGAAGCAGATGRTCCTCAAGATCCCTTCCAACCCCCAAACTATTCTGTGATTCTGCCTAACATGCTGTATGCTGAGCATACTAAATGGAAGATACTGTGCATTTGATCAAATGTAAGTAACTTTTTCTTTTCTTCTCCTTCTCATACCTGCCCCTGTTTCTCTCTYTGGATTGCGGCTGTACCTGTATGGACTCGTTGCTGCAATGCTTCAAATTCATCATTTTACTGGACTACTTCTGGATGTATTCTGTTGCTATCTTCAATCCTGGAAATGACGGAAACCTGTTGTTTACAAAGTAGCTGTAAGTATTACTTTGATGCAGGTGTTTTACAGCTAATGTGGGAATAGAARCAGCATTAGGATTTTTGTAGATGAACTAAAATTGAGTTTAGGTAGCAGCTGGTTGAAAATCAGGAAGGAATAAAAATTAAGGGGAAGGTATTGTAAGTATTAGAAACATGAGTTGTCACATGGCACCATGTTCCAGACAGTGGAAGTTAATTCTTTTGCAAAAAAAGCACTAAGTTCATTTAAAAGCTGTTATAGGAAATAAAGAAACTCAGTTCCTAATTTGTCTTGGTCTCTTTAGAAGTAGCAAGTTATGAACAAATGCAACCATTTAAAAACCAGTATGTTGAAATCTTAGTTTTAATTGGTGTGCCAGAAATCTGAATCTGTCATCTAGCTGCAGTTTTTTAAAAAGCTCTTTCCTGTGGATGATAAATGCTTGCATTAAACACAGCATTAATGTCCAGTGTAACATGTCATACATCTGCATCTTTCTGCTTAGTAACATTTATATTTCATTATCTTAATTTGTGGGTGTAATTACTGTAGACCCACTTAAAAGAGCAAACAACCCAAAAATTGTCATCTATTCCTTTTTAGCATTTTATACTCAGTGATCTAACAGTTCTTAGCAGTAGGTCTATCCTAAATGTGGAGTTGTATATAAAGAAGAAGGGAAAAGAAATAACTAGTTCAAAACAAGAATTACATGGAAACCATTCTTTTAAAKCAAAAGAATAATTAGCTAATGAGGAAGTGAGCTGTTTCTGGTAAGCATGACACACATTAAAAGATATGTAGATATGAAAAAATGCAGGTTGTTGACAAGTAGAGCTATTGAGAGTGTCTGGCTGATTAGGTATTACACATCTGGCAGGATGAATAGCGGTTCCATATCCTTAATGGTTATTAAGGACCTGCACTTTCAAGGAGCTCTTTAATATCGTGAAAAGCATTGACCTGAATGTCATGTAGTTTCTCTGAAGCATTGGCTCTTGCTCAGGGTTTTAGATCGTGAGAAATTCCATTCCTCACATGTATGAATAGATTGGAAAATTWAAACAAATATTTAGATTTTGAATTCCTGGCTGATTTTAAAAATATTTTAAAAYTTTTCAGATAAGATTATGGCTACACTAAGGGCTCTATTGAAAGAAAAAGCTTCTTTAAAATTCAGAGTTTCTTGATGATGGGRCAAAAGATGCCTACATTTAGAGAAGTAGTAACATTGTGTGTATTTTAACTTGAACCTCTWACTTGATCTTTGTAGTGGTGTTGCTTTTCTTGAGATTAATAGTGACTTAAAGCAGAGTCCATTCATTGACCAATGCAGTTTGATTGCCAAGAGGTTAGTTCTTCTTGCATTCAATACTTTAAAGGTGATAGTGGTTTTATACTATTGCTCTAAAAAAAGTATTTTTCATTTAAAAATTCTMTTAGTTATTACTGTGCTAGATTTTGTTCTGTCAGTTTTACAAAGAAAAAAATCCAAAATAAGCATGAGTCAACCACATACCAAACTTAAATTAGCCATACTGTATCCCATATGGAGAAGTTCTGAGGGAATAGTGCCTGTAGTAGAATTTTTTTTTTACAAATTATTTTTTAGAATTCCTCTGTGCTTATAATGTTAGGGAGTGGAATTTAAACTTGTAGACAGCATTTCACCTTTGGGGATATAAAAAGCCCTCTTAAACTCTGAAGCTAAGGTAGTACCATCATCRCATGACATCCTCTGAACTTTGCATGGATATAAAGCCTAAAGGCTGAAGTCATTGCTCCATGGCAAGCTCTGCCTCGTGTTGCTTTAAGTAGGCCATTGTCTCAGAGAGGTATTTTCAGATTCTTTTTAAAACAGCTGAACTGTCCAGTCTCATAAGACAATTCTCAAACCTGCTATGTTAATAAACAGTTGTAGGATTGGGCTGGAAGAGTGGTGTAAGGGCAGCACGGTTGTTCTTTGAAAGATTACTGCATCTAGTTCAGTGAGGAGGAGGTGGTTTAACCACCTCCAGCATTTTCATTAATGTGCTCAGAAGAAGTAGTGGCTAACATCCAGAATTCTCTTGTTTCCTAGAAGACACTATTTTGGCTAAGTTTTTCACAGTACAAGGCAGCTGAAGTTTTGCCTTTGTGGAGAGTTTATTGCAAGGCTTGCTGCATTAGTGTGAGTCTGGGTTTAAGATGAAGGCCTCTAGTTGTGTGGCACAGAAGCAGAGTATGTCAAGTTGGTTCCTTTTGTTCCATCATGACTGGAAAGCATAGGAAAGGTGCTTTCATACTGCTGGCCTATGTTTCCAGTGGACGTTGGTACCAAGTTGATTATGTTTTAATTTGTTTGCACATGCACACTCCTGTACTTGTATAAACAGTCATAATGTGGCAATTGTATTTGCTCAAAATACAATTTCTGTGGTTTCYGTGCCAGTTTTTTTGCTATCCAGTAGAAAAAAAAAAATCCTTACTTGCTGCTGCAGTTCATTGCACTGTCTTGAATGTAAACAGCTTGGGTCTTTGAGAGGTTGGGTAGATAGTACTTTACTACAAATGAGGAAGTGAACATTTTAATAACTAAAAATKCAAACCATGAAATGCTTTCCTTTTAACTTCTTTTTTTTTTTTTTCCTAAATGTCTCTTGCTTTAGCAACAGAAGAACCTTGAAGGATATGTGGGGTTTGCAAACCTTCCAAATCAAGTTTACCGAAAGTCTGTGAAGAGAGGATTTGAATTCACTCTCATGGTAGTAGGTAAGTTTCTTTCTTTGTTTTAAGTGTTGATTGTTAGAAGTATTYTGATGTACTTCTTAAAATCTGTAATGTAAATATGTTTTGCTCGATCTCATGAGAAAACATGGATCTTCCCCTGCTAGACTGATAAATCTAGGTTGGTGAAAAAGAGCATGTTTTCTGGTTTACAAGTTGATGAGAAGAATAAATGATGACAACTGTATAGATTGTTTAGTCTTAAGAAAGCAGCTTMGTGTGGATCTGGTCTAAAATTCTATTTGAAAGTATGGCAGTAGTAATTTGAACTTGATTTTCATTTGAATAAAAAAAAATGAACTGTTTTTTTGGTTGAGTGCAACATGGCAAACCTTGTACATTACTAGGCAGTAATATCCTGTACATCCTGCACTTCTGTGGCTGCAAAACTGTGCTACAGAATCAAAACATTAATTTAAAAAAACCTTCCTAGTTTGTATGGTTGCAAAGAAAACCAAATGTAAACAGCTTGTTCCCTATGGACTACAGAAAATGGGAAATTATGGTATGAATGAATAATACCATTTGGAACTGTTCATTTAGGCTTCAGTGATGACCCAAATTTGTTCTCTTTCCTGCTAGGACATCTCATTTCTTTCTTTTTTCTTGCTCTTTTGAGTACTTTATGATAATGGACTTGTAGTAAAGTTRGTTTGTGTGTAACTGATGCTACTGGATACGTGACCCTGGTTTCAGCAAAATAATAATAAGTTTAARAAACGTGCTATAATAGCCATCTGTGACTTTGTCTAGGTTTATCTTTTGTAATTTGGCTAGCTTGATTGTGCTTGGTTTTGTTATCAACACAATGGGTATCTTGTGCAGGCTTTATGTACATGTAGCATGTAACATAATAGTACCATTGACAGAGTTGGAATCCAGGGCAAATTGGTGAAAACTCAGTGTTAATCATTTATATTTTGATTACAAAAGTGAGTTGCAATTTTRAAATTTGAGGATTGCTTTTTGCTTTTGGAACTTGATGACAGGTTCCTTTAAGTGAAGTGTCCTAGTACATAATTCATTTTCTGCTACAAAACTGTACCAGAAGCTGTTCTAAAGCAAAATTTGGTTTTCTGCCATCTACAGATAATAAGAAGGAAGAAGGGATGAAACTGTTTTCGTAAGCGGTAAATGTAGGGATGTGTTAAAACTGGAGAAAGTCTGTAAGATTACCTTGGTGTTCTTTTGTTTCCCTGTAGTTTAAAGCAATTACATTTCGGAAAGCAGTAGATAATTGTGACCCTGAAGAAGAAAAATTGGTCCAAAATTAGATTAATAATGAGATGTTGACTAGTTTTAATATTTTTGTGTTTATTTCTAAGATTTCATTTGTTGTTGGCATGGAAATTTGTGTCTTTGTCTGGAATCTTACTAGGAGAGGTGGCAGTATTTTCCTAAATTAAAAATACCACTAATTCCCTTCTTTTGWCCCCCATGTATAGAAATCAGGTATTTAAAAGCGAGTGTTTAAACAACATGGTGGGGGCTCTTACAGTGTTCTGGGGACATCTGGGGAGGAGTGGGGTAGAAAAGTTATTTTGTTTCAAAGTTAAGTGCCTGATAATGCGTATGCCCTGAAAAAATGTGTTTGTTTTTAAATATGAAGGTGAAATAGTTCGCTTGTGTTGATAAACATTGTAATGTAATCTGCAAATAGGTTGTTAGGATTGTAATTATTTATTGCTGCATTCATCCTGTGAGGTGGTGTACTCTAACTTGGTTTGAGGTCTCTAGCTGACATAATGATACAAATCTGTAATAATAAATGGAATTACCTATAGTCTATTTAGTAAAGTTTAAAATTTAGAATGTAATGCTTATCTGTATATGGTCAGTTGTGGAAAAATCAGAATACTGGATATATTATCTCTTGGAGATTATCTAAAATATTCCCTTGCCCTTTATACTACCAAACGTCATGCGTGCATGGCTACCTTTTACTGCATATTGCACAACTAATCTGCTGGCTGTGCTTTATTCACAGGTACTTGTGTCAGTGTGTTACCCATTTGTTCTGAAATGAAAAAAGAAAAAAAACAGTGCTTGTGGTTGCTAAACACGTACAAGGAAGAAAACAAATCATGTTTGGGATTTGTGGTCTATATCCATCTATTTTTAGGTGTTTGGGAGGCCTGATATTGCAGCCAATGCATTTGTTTTCCTTAATTCCATTTAATCTGGAATTATCAGTTAAACTTAACGGGCACCCATTATATCTGGGTTTTTTGCCTTTGAAATGTGCAGTATGAAAAATCACAGGAGCAGTGTTGAGGAGCAGAATTGCCAGCATGATTATACTATCATGTGGTTTTCTACTGCTAGAAACTATTCTGTTTTCAGTTTAACAGTGTAAGATATTTGACAGAGCAAGTAGAAAGTAAAGCATCAGACAAATTGGATGCTTCCAGTAAGAACTTCTGCAGGGAAGTAGATAAGTTTTTCAGAACCTTTCCCGTGCCTTAAGTGTGACTGTACTCCCATAAAATGCATATTTCCCCAGTTACTGTCATTGCCCTAGAGTTGGTGGGGCTGCCTGTGGCTGTGTGGTGGCACCCTGCACTTYTGTTGTGCAGGTGAAGTTGGAGAGTGGGCTTTTAAATGTGGGCATTTAGAAAGGCCCAATAGTTGAAGAATAGCCTAGAGCAAGAGCATGATTGTTTCTGGAGCAGGTTATTGCCTCCTTATCTGGGCTGAGCTAAGCTGGTTGGTGGCACTGCTTTGGAGGTGGTCCATTTCAAATGCATGGGGGCAGCTTTCTGTCCTGTACTCTGCTCTTTGAGTCAGGACTTGAGAGGATTAATGTATTTGAGGCTTGTAATATTATGGAGCTCTTTCCTATAAGTATAGTTGCTGATTTGCAGGTATTACAGTGTTTACATTAAGTATAACTGAGGGGTGAAGTGATTATGAACTGTACACATACAAGTACAGAAAGTGTATATCAAGATACCTTTTCTATATTAAATGTTTCAAAAATCGTGAAAAGTGAGTCTTAATAGAAATTGGTTTTGCTGTGTAATATATAGCCATTGTTAACATGTCAACATTTCTGTCTCAAACTGTGTTTATTTTCTTTAAGTTGTACTGGTTCTTTTGTTAGTGTTTATAAACTTTTCTTGAGATGGCTCTTCGTTTTCATTATTAATCAGTTTGTATTGACTTGTCTTTAATCCTCATGAGTCAACTTCATATTAGTTATATTCTCAAAGGCTAAGGAGTAGTTTTAGTCATGCTGCTTTTGCAAGCAAGTTGGTTTTGTAAAGACTCACAAGCACCTCCTCTGAGGATGTGACAAAGTGGGCAGRAATAAGCATTTAACCAAGATTCATTCTTGATGCTTTCAAAACAAGACATTAAAATAGTGGTATAAAGCAGCTAATTCCACATCTGAAGCATTAAAGCTCAGCAGTGGGAAAAATGTCAAGTTTGCCTTGGTTCCTTCATAATCTTGTGTAATCTCTTCAAGTATAAGATAGTTGTTGAAACACTTGAAAACCTGACATAAATATTTAGTCTGTCTGAAATCCAAAGAGTATTCTCTATGTCTCTGCTCTATGGCTTTCTTGGATGAAAGTACATGTTKAAGTTAGATGCCTAAGAAAAGAAAACTTTCAGAGGTAATACCACTGTGGTTAGTAATTCACAAATAAAGAAAGTTTTAATTGTGGAATTGTAGTTCTGTCTGTTTAATAATATAATTACACTTGCTTAAGTAGTGGGTGTGTCTCTGTTTTRGTGTATATGAGGTGTGGAACAAATAGTTATTTTTCAGTGTGTCTTCCTTCTAAACACTGAGTCAGGAAATCCCCCTTTTGTTCTTGTATTGAAATGACGCTGGTAATGTGATTTGAACCAACACCCAAGTAGATGCAAAATAATAATTTTTAAAAATTCTTTTCTCCTATAGAYTATATGTACTTAAGAATGTGTATATGTGGTGACTTTTCCTAGGGCTGTATATTTCAATGTGTTCAGACTTCATGAGTCTTACTAGAAGTTCTACTTTAATTATTTTTTTAAAGTCATCTGATTCCCGAAGTACAGAAYAATTGCAGTCGAGTGACTTTTCAGAGGATCTTTCTGCACAGTTCCTAGTTCTTGAGCAGCTGTTTGGTAGCTTTGATTTTGAAAGCTGTTTTGAGGCCTCTTCTATAGTAAATTGTCAGGTTTGTTTCAAAATTGTTGCTTTAGCCTTGTAGATCACCTGTAAGTTACAACTTAAAGGAAAATGCCATGCAATATTGTTGGAGTGCATTATTCGTAATTATATGCACAGTCAAATGTTTTGGTTTAAACATGGCTTTTTGGCATGGATGCAAAGAAAAGGACTGTATTTTGCAAGACTTGAAGTTAAATTAAAGAAGCAGGTTTTAAAATGCTTCCGTTGTTCACTGAAGAAAGTTTGGTCTGGTTTAATGCTGGTATCTTGTAGTGATGGATCATGTTGTGATTAAAATGACCCCCTTCACTTGTTCCATTTCTGGATTTATTTGTCAAGTCAACCAGTTGTATGAAGAGCCTGAGATACTCACAGATACTTATTCTTTACTCTCCCTCCATTTTAATGCCAGGAACAAAATCATTTATTGCAGGATAGGAAGAAAAATTAAAAGTAACCTGTGGGTGGGCAGTACAGAAGTAGGAACAGTTTTAGGATGTTGCCAGTTCTTGTTGATCTGCTGTAATTTGAAATGCTCCTGGTTGAAGTTTCAGTGGTACTGAAAGTATCTACTACTACTGCAGTATCTGGTTACATGTTTAGCCTTTGGTGTGACCTTCATTAGGATCTGCTTAGGATCCATGAACTGTCATGGAGTGTGCAGTGCCTTGTGTGTAGAGTCAGGGGAGTACAGTCTCGTGTACAGGGCTGGAGTAAAAAAAGCATATGATGGAAAAGAACTAGCAAGATATCTCACATGTGTCCTGCCTCCCTTCCCCTGTAAATTCATTTCTTCAGAATACCTCAATTCGTCTAGTTTTCT